CATGCTCAGGTTCGCCCAACTACGACTTATCCACACTACACGAAGGATTCTTATCTACAGCCGTCGAGTAGCTCGCCAATCAGTTCGGCCTCTAACATCATCTACCAGTTCACTTGCAGTTGCGGTGACACTTACATAGGCAAGACTGGTCGCCGGATGGCTCAAAGGGTGACTGAACACCTCCCATTGTGGCTAAGGCAGTTGGTGTCTCACCAACTCAGAGTGGACCAAAGAATGAACTGGAACCCTGCCTCGTCTATCACTAAACACCTCATGACGACTCGTCATCAGGTGAACCCAATCGATTCATTCAAGATGCTATTGCGCAACAGGAACCAGACGTTGTTGGCAATTGGCGAGGCGCTACTGATAAGGTTGAATTATCCAGCGCTCTGTGCACAGAAACAACTGAGATTAGACCTGATTAAATCATTCAAATCAATTTTGTCGTTATATCTAGGTTACTAAGTGTGAACCGTATTTAATGCGTATTTTGTTCTGCCTGTATTGCGTAGTGACTGACGAGAGCAATCGAAATGTCAACATATCGCAATCTATGTCCTCTTAGTGCGTTAATGAAATTGTCATTTCAAGTGATCGGCTGTGGCTTGACATCCACTGTGTGGCTGCGCTTGTTGTGGATGTTGACAGGGTGCCGGCTTGTCTAGTAACACCCTCCATCTCGATTACCGGCTCCAGGAGACTGTGAATCTTCGCGGAGGATGGGTGCACGGCGCTCGTGGCCGTGATGGGCTCAAAGATTGGTTCCATCCAGTGTGGTGTGGACTACACCTGGTACTCGAAGTTTCCGAATTAGGCATGAATGCCTCTGCTATGCTTGTTGAAGGATCGTGGGCCGGGGCTCCGTTGATGAACCGTGGCTCCCACCCACATGCTCCCCGGTCTTATTCCTTCAGATTTACGCTAGATGGAGATGTGAGTGGTGTAGCATAAGCCACCCGTCGTCTCTCTGCAGACGCAGGCGTCCTGTGGCTATCCTACGGAGGTCGCAGTAACAAGCAAATCCGGAACCGGATGCCGCCAATGATATTCGAAGGTAAGCTCAAATGTGTAACACGTCGCATGAAAGTAATGAATCGAGTCTACCTTTGTGGACAATAAAGTTTGTATTCATCTCGCCCCTCCAATAATCTGTAAATAAACTTTAAGTGTTCATCAGCACTACATAACTGTTAGTTGAATTTGACTTCATGCCATGTTTAGCGTATAAAAGCTCAAGTCCATCTTAGTGTAATTTCGCTGCATCATGAACACATTGTACTAAGCGTTCCTTCTCCTCACATCTATATGCTATGCCTACAACAGCTGACCAAATTTCACAGCATGAACGTCCTGGGCTCAAACCTCGAACATGTAGGGAAAGACCAGTGCATATATTAGTAATACCAAAAATGGAATTTTAGTAACCCACTATGACATATATACCGCGTGTAATTCGTCTGTAAATTATCCTTTCGAGTAAAAAAGTGAAAAATATCTAGCAATCTGATCTGGCTCCCAGTGGGTACAGAGTTAGGGAAGCACACACATTACTATCGTAGGATTGCGATGAGGACGGAGAAGGGAAACAAAGCACAAACTAGTCCAATTAGTTGGTGTGTCTAAAACACCGCTTTCATTCAACTGACATTCACCCCTACATTCCCGAAAACACCGAAGGTAACGGAGCACGGTCGTTTAAATCGACCATCAATAGCAGCAGCAATACATCGGTACACTGCACGCACTGACGTAAAACCTAAGATTAAGGGGAGGTAACCTTAGCGATAAGGAGCAAGAAGAGCGGAGTAGATATTTGTTAGAGGAGCAATGAAACTACAGGTATGCTTGTATCACCGTTAATGACTGCAGGTACGTTTTGCTCTGGCGGTTCACTGATATCGTTTAAACCTATCATTTCACTATCCCTGTTGGCTATGTGGAGTTGCAACTTTGGCTTCAGATGGCTGCCCTACTCCGGCGATAACACTCGCAATTTCCTTTGTTTGTGTGCCGTTGATTGGTTCCTTATTTGTTCAATCATTATTGGCTTTACCTACCCGAACGCCTACTGGTTGGCTTTCATGTTTCCCTATGGAAAAGAACCTTTGAATCCTAGCCCTTGGTCAGTCGTGTTCTCGCCACGGTTAGTGAGTGGAAGCAGTCGTCGGGTGCCGACACAACAATACAACACGATGTGACTTCATTACGGTCATCACACACTGGCCATAATCGAACTTAGGATTCAAAGATAGCAACATGTGTAGTACTGGTGGCCCGCATCCAAAGTAGGGAGACACAAAAGAACGAGGAAATAGGCAGCACGTGGTCTTCACACTGATGCCCTTGCGGTACAGTGCATCGATCACAGGGAATGGAACAATCCAACTAATGAGTAAACTGGAATTAGAGAGACACTCATCATGTGGATGTGTAGCCCGTAGGAAGTGCACAACGGTTCATTTAGTGGTGACACAAACATTCTGCAACTACAGCTCCCTGCAGCTACGAATCCCAACATCAGACATTTGGGAAATTAAGGAGGATACATGGAGAAAAGGGCTTCGGGGCATTCTGATGCACACTGCAGATGTGGTCGCTGTATCATCATGGCGAATAGGAAGACTTTGTCCATTTCACGGGATTTCCGTGCTCACATGCATATAGGAACAAGCATTGAAAAAGTTGACGAGAACAACACACCTCCAAGTAACTTAAACAAACAGCCCGATGAGTGAACAACAGCGGCCAACCCGGTTGCGTGCACACTGCGTATTGCCATCATTGTATCATTGTGTCAAACTGGTTTAACTATTTGCGATAATGACCGATTAATGCAATTAAAATTACTCTGGTGTCAAACAGACGTCTTTCTAGAAAAGGAGATGGAGTGGTTCGAAAGGATGCATACAGAGGTGCAGCGAGAGACTAAGCTGGAATCAGCGATGTTACTTCGAGATGCGCTAAATGAAACATCCTATTCAGCACAGGTGCTTCCAAATGGGGTAACAGGAAAAGTGTATCTTGTTGTGGCATTGGAGGACCTAATGTCTTGCTCACTATCAAAGGTATGACATCCCCTTTGGTGATAGTGCTTTTAGGTATGCCAAAACTGCACATTTATTGCGGTTCTGTCTCAAACAGAGGCCACCAGATCGTGTTCCACGAGCTCTTAAGAATCCACTGGGACTATCGCTCCATTCGTGGCTAACAACAAGATGCTTCAGATACTATGGATAAACAAGGAAAAATGTATCAATGACGTCTTCCCTTAGGAGAAATTATCATACACGAGTTCTCTTTGAAGCACTGCAGGTTGGTGATAATCAAGCCAGTCAAGTGGGAGAAGAAAGAGTAGAGCGGCATTGAGCCGTAAACGCAGCAAGGGATTAGCATCCTCAGGCGGTCAAAGGAAACTTTCCAACGGATGCGGTTCGATTCCAGGCTTTATGAATGCCCACGAACTCCATCTCCGGAATTCGTAGGTAAGACTGAAGCCGCGCATCAAAGGGAAAACATCAAACAAGGTGCACCACTAGTTTATCGGTGAAACAGAATGTGTTAACAACAGCCTACTGCTACGAACTGAGTAGAATCCAGCCGCAGAAAAATAACAGAAGACGAGTAGTCTACCATTACGAACATTCTCATCCCATCTTCATCGCTTCAATGGAAGAAGAACGCTTTCTCGCACTGCGGAATTCCCGTGGATGACATCCGTACCAGTTCCGGACTAACTATAAGATAAACTAGTCCGACTAGACAAGGATGGCTAGTGCATCTTAACCGAGCTACCGTTGTTTGGCAAGCGTGACATGGGAGTACGTCGCGTGAGTCCTTACGTGATGAATTGTGGATTATAAACGCAAAAGCAACCACATGAAGTGCAGATCAAACTACGAAGCGCGTGACTAAGCTGGCGAAGTAAAAAACGAGTAACCTGTTTGTCTGTTTGTAGATAGTTGGTTATAGGTGAGCCGAGTGCCCTGCAACCGAACAGCGTGGGTTGTTCAAAAGACAGCACGAGTGCGTAAGCAGACACCCCAATGAGAAGGGGCCGTAAGGTTCAAGAAGGTCAAGGAAGTTGGCCAATTATGTCAAGCGTCGCATGTGTCGTTATTAGACGTTAAGATTAGAGTTCCAAAAGGAAACCAGCAGAAAAGGTGAGGCGATATGTGACGCTATCGAATACCGAAGAATACGAGTTGAATGGTCTGTGCAAAGAAGTGGTTGACGAGGATGATCCATGACCGACTTTGTGTTCTGTGTTCATGCACTGTTGAAGAAAACTTCGTGCAGGCAGCAAACTTCTTTCTCTTTCTCGCTGTACACCATGGGACTGAACTGGACTCAGTGAATTAATCCATAACATGCATCGTGTAAACACACAAGGTAGCATGAAGTTAGCCGGTAAACAAGGAGGTACGCAACAATAAAAGCCGAATAAATGTGTACTGAACAGCGCCCCACTGAAACGCAAGCAGTGGCTTGGAGTTCAGAACTGAGTTGATGGGCATAGGATAGCGACTCAAAGAAATGAGTACCAACTGTTTTCAATCTACCGCACAGAGGACCCAAAAGTTGAATTACTCTAAGCCACGGCCATTACCAAGTCCAGATAAAGAAGCTGCAAAACTATACAAGGGAACCAGCAAGTGTACTATAACGGATCGTATAGACAAACCGTCACACCGTGTTAAGGTCCAGAACCGCTGCAACACCGACAGTTAGGATGGCAGTATCAGTGACGGTTATGCAGCTACACAGAAGCAACAATATGTTTCGCTTCAGAGACGAAGTGGGTGGATCCTCATATGCCCTCTGCAGTTCTGAGGCTACCTTGCGCAACCAGAGTGGCCCATGAGGTGGGGGTTACTCTCAGGCCCACTCTGGCTGATACCAAGTGGGAAAGACGGGTGATAGCATGTGTAGTTAAAACAGTAACTTCAAAAAGCGAACGCCAACCGTGGAATCCCACTGATAGAAGTATGCTCATTTACCTTGTTGGTATAGAATATGTTTAGGGAAGATTGCTCATTAGAACGGACGGATATACACAGGAGGTGAGTTTGCTGCCGAAAGGACAAATTGATCAGTTGATCATACCACCATCGTTCGAGTATGCCACCCAAAAGATTGCGCAAAAGTAAATAGTCCTCACATACCTGCGAAACAAAAGAGAGCGAACAGAAAAGTGAAAAAAATTAAGTGGATTGAGTGGACGAGAGAGAATCACGGTTGGTAGAAAGCAGGTTGGAGGTCAAGATAGCTAAAGCGCCCGTGGACGCAGCGGAGGGAGAATGTATATGGATCGGGCTGTAGAACAATCACAGTCGTCCAATGTAATACTAAACTTGGGAGGTAAGAGCCAGCCAGAAATGAGAACATATACTTGAGAGTTGAGCGTGACAGAGAAACAACATATGCATGAACTTGTGTTTCAGGTAACAAAAGGGGTAACGAATATGATAATCGAGCACAAAGTGCTTACTTCGATAAACAAGGGCTGACCTGCCGTATCGCTTTCAGCATATACCTCATAGGAACGGCTCGGTATGGATCTGCTCTGTAGGGGCTTCAGATCTACGTCGTTTCCGTGCTGAGTGGGGAAAATCATCCGCGAACAGTGTTAAACAGAAAGGACGACGGAGCAGAATGTATTAAGTGCAGAAATAAGGAAGACTGATCTACACTGGAAATCAGGCACTGCAATGAAGTCAGATCCACATGCAGTGAGCAGCAACTACCGAGAAACAGTTAAACTACGGTGAACATAAACAATGTACATAAAGATCGAACACATCCAGACAAAGAGTTGGATTTACAATGACTGAGGGAACCTCAGGGAAAAGTGCTTTCAGACACCAAGATGGGCCGATCTTCCAGCGATTCTACAAAACAGGTCAATAAAGCAGTTAACCAGTTAGTGGCCTTGATGTGATGCTTACTCAAAAAGGCGTAACCGACCGTGTCAAACTACTGCGACAAATCCAATTACATAATCATTTGAAGACAACTGGAAACGAGTAAACCTGCAAAATGGCAAGTGAGTCTATGGTCTCCGCTGCCGCGATTCCCGATGAATGATCGGCTGTCGTGTAAGTCTTGCCGACCCGCCTGCTCTGTTAGATAGATTATTCCCATCGTATTCAACACATTAGTAATTTGTACTAATGCTTCCCCGCGGTAAACAAGAACGATTTATGATTGGAGGATTGGTAGATAAGCAAGCGAGACCTTGTGTAACAATTAAGCGCTCCGAGTGAAAACAACGGGTCACAAACACCAGGATTCGTGCGGAAATAAGACAGCATCGAGGATAGAGTTTTGTGTGAGTTCGACTGTTCCGTGTCATAACTGATCTTAATCCACGGATTACTCAGCATCGATTACATTTTAAAGTGGTAATCCAAATGCCAAAAAGGTGCTGGTTGGGAGCCATATCCTGGAGAAACTCGACCAATACCCAAGGTGGGTCCCGTGGACTCCAATGTGGAAGCCGAGATGGACCAAGATCACCAAGCTTAGTAGTCAGTGATTTCATTATGCACTACGAAATCAACTTTTCCCTGTGAACCTTGGGCCATCCTACGTGCATCAAACAAAACAACTGTCCTCGGCAGGCGGTTACCGAGCGTAAGTAGAACGTACAAGTCAGCGTAACGTATTAATGTCAGCTATTGTTAGAAAGATCCAGAATGATTATCATCCTTGCGGATACGCTGGTGCCATCCGACACCGTATGATCGGTAGGCAACCATGAGCAAAGGCTGGAAATTGCTTCAGATAAACAAAGTGAAGAGGTTAATTCTCGCACACATAGAGTAGGACGATCCTAACTGTGGCCATGTACACTCGTCACTTCATACCGAGAAAAGTCTCCGCACCACGGATGTCACCCGTCCAAGAAGGCGGTTATAGTTTTCGCAACATTTTGAGTTGTGTGTAAATCGTTAATACTACGGAGGAGTTGACGATTCGAACAACTGTGCCAATTTAGCGCCATCAACTTCCTAAAATTGCGAGCATAGCGTATCCTGAATTTCTTTGCACTTTGAAGGCGCGAATCGCATACCATAGGATGGGACCACACGAAAGTTAACTGTGCCGCTACGTGACTGTCGAGGTGGTAATGTTCGCATAATTCAAGCTAACCAATGTTGCATCGAGCAGCACTCTGATGATCAGGCCGTAAGATTTTGGTAGGGAACATAATATAATCGAGTCCAAGTTAAAGCTGAACAAGGATCAGCAAACAACGACCCGTGGACCGAATGTGGACCCCAATGTCAGTTCAACAGACCCATCGTCTGTGCCACATTTTGTTTGATAACACGTAAAGCAGTTGGAAGGCAACCAGGCTCTTACAGACCGGACTCTCACAAATACAATCCAGTTGCCGCAGCCGGATGTTTGGAAGCAAGTTGAAACGAAGTAAAGTTAGTATACCCATCAATCAAGCAAGATTCTAACCCTTTTTAAAGATTGGGATAACCGCTTATAACCAGTAACCGGACATTTGTTTGGCACACCAAGCCGTTAACAACGCCTGCCGTAAGGTTGGGTCACATCAGAGGTTGGAGACCCCATCGGACATGATGAAGTGCCGTAATCAGCAGCGATCCCTACAGTTCTTACAATCCCTTACAAGCATATGTTAACATCCAAACCGGACTGATTGTACCTACTTCTTAACCAACTTCCGCTTCGTCGTACTCTGTTGGCGTATTCTTCACACCACCGTTATGTATTGTTAAGGCGGCAACTGGATTCACCGCACTTGAGTACCCAGATGACAGCTGTATAACTGAATTAAACAGAACATGTGGATCTTTACCGCCTCACAGCGAGGACAGAGAGGGAGGTCTTTGGGTTAACAAGGTGAGTATATCGCTTTGATAACACAAGATCACATTAGGTTTCTCCGACGCTTATAATTGCGAGATTAACCGCCCAAGCGATGTAAAATCAATGGACGAACAATAGTAATACGGTGCGTTAGCCTAAATGTCCTCTGAGAAGCCCCGCTTAACGTCCAACAGGATGGGTATGGCAGTAGAGTAACCGTTCTTAACCACAGTTCCACTCCGATGTTTATCATGGTTTGTGCTTCCAAAGGGCTGGAATAAATCTCGGTTTCCGATGATACCGGTCTTCCCAAGCCAATTGGTATGATAATCAATGAACGCTATTGCCTGATCAAGAGGACACCAGTCAAACACCGTGGAAGAATGTTGCGGATGTCTTGAAACATAATAGAAGGGAAAATCGGTATTCGCATTTTAAGCAGATTGGTAAATGCTCCGAAATTTCAACATCCATTTAAGAAGCTCATGAAAAGGAAACAAGTAATTCCAAATGTGCGATGCAATTGAATCGATTCTAGTGGGTATTTAGTGCATCCATACCCACTGATTTCGATCGAACCAACTTCGTTATGTCGTTCAGCAGACTATGAGCCTTGGCGACAAATAAGTTACTTCGAAGTCGGATAGTTCACTGATGTCAATCGTGCTATAGGGGCACGCACTTACGCACGCTCGGGAGGTAAATAGGTCCGCCAAATCGATCGACAGCATCGACATATATCATTGTAATTGAACCATACTCGACGGGTTGGCAGTGAGCTGGGTTTTAACAAAATATGTGTTATAAGCTCATATAAGAATGTGATAAAAATGAATATTGTTACGGTTGCCCGATGCCTTCAAAAGGATTGCACGACACTTGGAACTGTCAATTCTCACGAAAAAAGTTGGGATGGATAAGCTTCGTGGCATGGGCTAGACGACTGGCCTCAATAAGTAAAGCGATTCAGTTCAGCCCCCGGTTATGTACACGTGGAATGCACGCCCCAAATGCACACGAATGAGTGACCAGCAAGCATAGATACCACCCGACGGAGTGCTTACCAACCGCGCGTGTTCTATGGCATGTGTTGCATCTGCGTAGCTGAAAAATCGAATGACCGTGGGATGTTGTCACGGAGATGCGCCTACACAAGTATGACACGCAACGGGACACCGGTACGTGCAAAGTTTCGGAGAACGACTTCAGCCGTATGTTGACAAGAGACATTATCTGTGAGGCCAATCAGGCATAGACCAGTAGAAATGCATACTTGATGGTTCGGCTGAAGAAGCAGATGTCCAGCGGAAAATCGGCAGTTGATATAAGGTAAGATAGAAGGGTAACATGAAAGTGTAGCTATGGTTTCGGTCAATGAAGGCAATCTAACCTGTGTAGGTGCGGATACATCGATTTCCAGTTATCAAGAGTAGTGAATGGGTTCGAACAACTCAATGCAAAAACGGAGAAAGAGGCGAACAACATCATCATCAACAACAACCCAGGATTAAATACAACGGTAGGAAGACTCAAAGTATACAACGCTACTTTGTTGGAATACCAAACCAAAACAGGTAATTTAGGGCTAAATCGATCGGAGTGATAAGGAACCACAAATACAACAAAATGCAGACCTCTGAATAATAGACAAAAAAACGCAAAGCGTGTATGGCGCTGATATTTTGATGTGTATTCGTAGATAAGAAGCGGATAGCTTGAAATCGTCAACAGCAACCTTTCTTCTAATGGATGTTTCGAACGAATAGCATCTGGTCAAACGACGTTGTATAAGACTGGGATCGAACCCAGAAGTCTTGCATAATGTCTATTTATCCATCCCCATCAGGTTCCAGGTATTCGGAATACACATGCCAGTTCATGCGCTTGTGGTACATGGAATTGATTCAGCTCAAAATAATCACTACAATCAGTAAGTAAGTGAATGAAAATGGACATAACACGCCCGATGCACTGAAACGTGACAAAGAAAGCGATCGTATAAGAAAGTGCCGGATAGAGGAACAGAATCGACTAACTAGAAAATCCAATACATCCAACAGGTTGGTGATCTCTTGCGAATGATGGAGGCCCATATGACTCTTAGCGAGTAGACGGCGAATCTTTCGGCGGATATCCGTCCGATCGACATCAACCATCACCATGAACGCGATCATGTTGTGCATCAATCCAGTCAGCAGTCTGTCTTCTTCCATTTCTAAATGCTTGCGCTTTAGCGGAGAGGAGGTGTTGTATCGGGCTAATAACTCCATAGGGTGGAAGTCCATGCCTGATTCGTTAAAAGAAAGGGTGGGGTGGAGAAAGAGCACGCCCTCGAGAGGAAAAACAGCAGAAAAGGTGCCTCCTATCACACTCATTCATTTGCCTCAATGTGAAGGAAATATGATGCAACGTTCAAATAAACCAAATACAAAGCGAGTTAATACATATGTAGATGAAATGTGATGAAGAGATCCGGGCACAAGTGTTCCATAGATGGACATACAGTCGTCGAGTCCGGTGAGCATTCCACTCTGTATATTTAGCGACCTATCGTCACCATTCCGCACGTATTTGAGAAAACGGCGACGAGGACGGAGTGTAATGAATGGTCTTGCAAACCAGCAAGTGTATAGGGTGGACAAACGATACGCGAAGACTCACAGGACCCCGCAAGTGTTCCGGTTGCAGGCCGAGTTGGGGACAACATAACAAGCAAAGGTAAGCGGGGCCACTAATGGGTTTGTGCATCTACCCCATGCGGCCAGTGGTGGCTCAGTCACTGCCGAAACTGTCTCAGAGCGCCCCTAATCAGACGCAGTGTGCATGCATGCGACCCAGTAGAGGAGTCCACACAGGCCGAAGAGGACAGAGTGATAAGGAATGGTGGCAGCTCTGCGCCTTATGAGCTGGGCATACAATCAATCGAAGCACACCAGTTGAAATTGGCACCCACAGGTTGAAAGCTGCAAAAGGTATTGTGAGTAACAGCACACACAGAAAGAGGATGCACAGGGTCACCGCAGTTCCAAGATTAAAAGGAAGATGCGGAAGACAAACCAAAGCAGAAGTTGGTCAATTTCTTCTTTGCAAGAAGAAACCTAGCGAAGTTCAATAGCTCGAAACCGCAGTATCCCTACATTTTTAGAGAGCGTATGCCCAAATCAGATAAACAAAGGAGGGGCCCAATGAAAGGAAATGCCAATAAGTGCAACAGGGTTGCAGTAACAAACAGAGAAATAGACGAAAAGTAGAGTCCTATTTTTCGATAAAACTAGGGTTGCTGTTTAGGGATTAATTTCTCGAGAGCCTGCTTCCAAGCTGTTGCTCATTAGCAACAATCGATTCCATAGCGCCAAAGGTCGGGTGGCACGTATCGTGTAGCAGAGGGAATAATGGAGAACATTTTTAAGATAGAGGCAATTTTCGGTTTAGAAGTCTGAAAGAGTCGCCCATCCACAAAACTACACCTAAGCCGACGACACTTTTGCCAAGCTTTAAGGGGATTGTAAAATATCAATCATAACCGAGAACGAGCCGACATGAGCGCTCAAGAAGGCGCGTGGAACTAGGTGGCCTGGAGTTTCGCATACATGATCACTGATGCAGGCGATTCATAAAACGTAGTCTTGATAACGCCTCAAAATAGAAAACCACTATGATTACGCCGGCACACCGTACTGAACCTTCGCTGCCACACGCGACCACCACCGCGAGGTCGCCCATGCACCTAACGCGCATTCGAACCAGGGACCTCTAGGCTGCAAGGCAAACAGGTACTCCTTCCAGCACAAGCCGAAACTCGGAATCGTGCACAGGTGTATCATTTAAATAATAATCTGGCAGGGTTGACTTCACAAAAGACGGTCGGTGGTTACGAATCCGTACAATTGCTGTGTGGACAGCATCGTTGAGTCCAACACGCCTCGACATCCTGCGCTTTGTGTATGGATGCAAGTCTGTGTTTCGTCTTCGTGTCTGCATGTATCACACTCTGATCCAATGTAAAACGATGCGCTTTCATCTCTTGTGAATGGTACATACATTGCCAGTTTGCGAGTGATCAGGATAGCACGAGATAGTACCATCCTACAGTAATCCCCTTCTTATTGTCGTGACCGCGTAGTCATGTGATGTCGATAAGGGATCGGATTTCCTTACACAAGTGTAGGATCCATTCTTTGTTGTTGGTAAGATGGTTGAAGTCACAGTGCATCAGTGAACGATGTGGGCACTTGAACATTGGTGTCCCCGACTCATGGTTTTTTTTAGACAAAGAGAGCAACCAAAGGAAAGGGTTACTGCTTTGAGGTAGATTAACTAAAGTCAGTGAGGGAGAAAGAAGAAGAAGTTGGCGCAAGTAGGAGATTCTCAGTCAGATGTCGAGGGCAAAATTGCCAATAAGGACGGAGCTGAGTAGAATATCATCAAAGGAAATGCCTACATTAAGAAACGGTGCAGTCCGTGCTGGTCCCAGAAAAAGTGAATTCAGAAAAAATAGCAAACACAAATTTTATTTTATTAAGATGAAAAGGACTATATCAGGATGGCCCCAATTAGAACACGGGAGCAGACATACAGAGATCAGCCGAAGACAGACAGAAAATATCTAATAATAGTCTCTGGTAGTTGGAGTAATATCGTTTGTCTGTTAATCAATGTAAATCTGTGTACATTGAGAGGACGTTATACGAATCAAGGGGTGCAAATAGACGAAATTACACTACTCACAAACATCCACCATTAATCTACCATCGCCCATTGGACGTCTGAAGGACAGGAACTTCGGTCTATTGGGAAGTGACGGGTGAGTGAGCCAATCTGCAACATCAGGACAGGTACTGTGAGCTTATTGGCAACACGTCGCGCACCAAGCAGAAGACATGTGTTAAAATTTGCGCACCTAATCGTCAGCCCTCGGTAGCTCAGGTGGTAGAGCAACGGACCGGAAATTCGTGGACCGGGGTTCGACTCCCCGTCGAGGCATATTATTGTGCGTGAATTTTAATCGTGGCTTCTACCTTCTTCGAAATTAAATGCGTCAAATCGAATCAACCAGGCAAACAGCTGACAAGGTCAAATAACGAGTACTACAAAGTAACCCTACAATCAGTCATTAACCACTGTGACGAGCGTCGCCCATCGTGACCCGGTCGCCAAAAGGGGTAGAGGCTTCGGCAACTATTCCAATGATCGCGAGTTCGAGGCCTGCTATCTCTACCTGATAGGATGAAATACATCGAAACGCGTCGTGGTTGTGCAGTGTTTTCAGGCAGGCGACACCCAATTTCTATCTGCTTCAGCTACGGGCCCAGTGATCACAGTGACCAAGGTTCACTTCATTAGGAACCGCGGTTGACACTGAGATTGCGTGTCGCAAACCATTCACACAACGAGTACTTCAAAATGACCCTACAATAGGTCAGCAAAATGTTTTCCACTAACAACTTGAGGTTTTGATATAATCGGAATGGAAAAAAGTTATGCGAGGAAAAACAAAGAGGAAATGGAACAATTTGGTACGGAGGGAATCAAAGTACAACATTGGCTGAGGAAAAGTTGCAAAAAAATGGTCCAAGCACCACTTTCCCTACTCCCTAGTTGACGTGCAGTCCGCAATTGAACAGGCAAGTTCTTTTACAAATAAAAATTCCCCTTTGACATGTCGGAAATATGCGGATGGTGTGTTCAAATGAGACAGTATCCGGAAACGACGTGACAGTTCAGAGAAAGCCCAAGCCGTAACCCAAAACGGTTCATGACAATCGGGTTGCTTAAGGACCGTGAGCCTTCAGTATAAGTGATGGAACGAAGGCAAAAAAACAAAGTTTGAAACATCCATGGCATTTAACCCTTGTGGTGGACAATAAAATGGTGGTTGGCCTGTGACCATCGAGACGAGACTGTACCTTAACTTGCTGCGATGGTTGCTGTGTCTCAGCGATCGATTAGACTATGCTGGGCGGTGCTTTTGCATTATTAGAGCCACTCACACCAGATTGGTCTATGGTTAGAGGCCAGACAAACCCATCCTCCTGGCCTCCCAGGTTGGATGCTGGAATGAGGGTGGCTCCATAGTTCATAAAACGGACGCTATGTAACCCATGTGATCGGACTTTTGAACCAAAAATTTGTTTGAGAGCCATAATCTTTCCCCGTATAGGCCTGGGCAACGGGACAGAATGCTGTCCACGTAATAAAATTACTTTCACTTCACATACTTTCCTGATGCTCTGGCTATCGCAGAGGATAATCAATAGCGTCCTATTCACTACATCGAGTAGGGTGAATAGGGGTGAGGATGTCATTGTTTAGACCTATTCGTCCTCTTAATCCCCTTCTTGCGCTTTTCAGTCTTATGTTTGCAAGTCTCTAATTTTTGGTCCCATCCCATTAGGCCTCAATAGTCGCTTGTTTGCTAGATTCGACTCATACGCAATGGTAGGGTGTCGATCCGGTCCTGTCGACAGGTATATGTCTAACCAAGCGCACAATAGCAACCCACCCGTTTCTATTTGATACCCGAGATCCTCGCTGAGACTGGCATGCCTCAAAGTGCGCACCTTGTTACATATTGGCCAACAGACGGCGCTTGCTAGAACACAAGCAACCAGCCTGTAAGATTCCAGCTAAGTGCTCACCCTGCGATCTCCCACAAGTGACAGTAGTGGCACTTTCTCATCGTATTTGTCTGTAGATGATGCATCAATAAAAACCGGTCAAGCCGGTGTGAGCTGAAGCTACCTTGATAAAATAGATATAAATCAACGGCCGGATGTGCACCATCAGATTGGATGGCTCGTTCAAGGCTTCGAAGTTGTGCACAGACAAACGGTGTCTGTTTGTCAGTATTGTCTGTCTATGCTGTAGCGCTGACTCGGTGAAAGATGACTCCTATCACCAAGTGAATGAGATTCTTCGTTACAGAAAAAGTACGGACACCGTGATGCTCGCTGGTGATATAAAGGTCCAAGTTGGAAAACTGTTCACTGAGTAGTTTCATCTAGGCGGCCAACATGGTGCCGGCTCCCGAAATGATAAGGGTGTACGGTTGCTACACCTTTGTGAAGATGCTCGTTAATTTCTCCTGAGTACTAACTAAACAAACAGCACGCGCCTCAGGGCAACATGGAGCTCACTAGCCTCGAAATAGCCGTGGAGCACGAACGCAGACTCTGACCACGCACGCATATGTACCGATCTCAGAGCTAGCTTCGGTGCACGCATGCGGCAAAGTTTTTACTGCACAGATACTTGCCAAATGACGAAGTCATCTCTTCTGAATATCAAAGTACACTGCCATGCGAACTGAACAAGCGCTCATTGAACGCAGTGAAGAGGCACTGGTCGCATATCCACTAGACGGTATTAGTAGCATGGATATTTGCTCGTGGTTATTCAAATTGCCAACCGGTACATTGCACACCGCGAACTTTCTGGAAGTCTTCGATGCACGGCTAGACATTCCGGCTGGAAGCTAACAAAGACCTAGGAGCAAAGCTCCATGCCAAACTGGAGATAGACCGTGAAACCTGTTGGTCTCATCGTTCATAGGAGATGGAAAAATGGCCGCTACACTTTGTAACCATATGAAGTTACTCCGTCTGATACGCGAAACAGGCAAAACAAAACTTCGTGTCAGCGAGACTGTATGAGGCTAGAGTGAGCAGCCTATTCACAGCTTGTCAATACTCTTACAGCGTTGGATCTAACACAGTGAAAAGCAGTCTAAGCACCAGATTTACCAGCATCTACATCGCCTAATGATCGCTCTTCTCCGTGGGCCCGTCATCACGCGCAAAAGTCGAAGATAAGACTGTTGAAAGTGAATAAGACTGCAGAAGCAGATAGACATCCCGCAGCCCACTTCGAATTTGGGATAACTGCTGTTGTAAATGACCTGCACAAGTTACTAGTGAAGCTGTGGGAGCAGGAGACTGTCCCAGCAGACTGGAGCCGCTCCGTTATCGGCTCTATTATTAAGCGGTCTCATCTCCGGAATGCGGCAATCAGAGATTCCAACTGACTCTAAGTTGCTTGCCTCTGTCGTTGACCATAGAGTGGCTGGCACCAATGAAAGCCAGATTTGTGAGGAGCAAGCCGGGTTTTGTCAAGGTCGTGGGTGCATTAATCAAACGTACACCTTACGCCGATCGTTGAAAAACCGCCATATTTATTGGCGACCAACCGTAGTCGTGTTACTCGGCATCAAAGGTGACTTCGAGTTGGTGGAACTTTGGGACTGTGTTCAGGATATGTGTGCCCGGTAAATGCGGAACCATTATCACAGCACTGCGCGCGCATAGTTCGGGTAGAATAATGGTTTATGACAAATGTCACCGCGGTTCAATTTCGCCAGCGGTGTGAAACGAAGTTGCTCACTGTCAACACTCAGACTTAAATTCGCCATTCACGAATTCACGGAAATCGTTTCCTTAGACACGATTTATAAGATGTGGAGTTGCTCCCAAGTGACCGACGTCTTGAAATGGAGCATGTGGACGATATACCCCTAATCCGTGACGATTCCGAAATGCGTTAGACAGCATTACACAATTTAGCATTCGCTGGCTCCTCTACGCTATTGCACGCCACTCAACTACGCACTGATGATGTCACCTTGATTGGTGACGGAGCGTTTGCAACAAAATTGTCAAGCTCAGCGAACAGTTCAACCGCCATTAGCATCCGCTGTTAGTCGTTTCTAGTAATGCTTTGCACTTGAAATTTAAAGTTCTTCTTCAAGACTAACAGGGAGTCACTCTTGCGCCGTAGTGATTGGTAAGAAGTCGTTCGAAAATTTGAGTGATTAACGCCTGCGGAACAGAACGTCAAGAACCGTACAGCCAAAGTTCGAGGTGCTTTTGCCAATCACCGCCACCTGTGGCGCCGGCGGGACATCAATGTGACCCTGAAGAGCAGAGTTTAAAACGCAACCGTCCGTCCAACCCTTCTGTAAGGTTGCGAAACCTGGTCCATCTGATTGACAGACATAAAGAAGCAACTTACCTTCGATCATCACTACGTTCGCAGCTTAGATCATGTCTTGTGGGAGAACCACGTGGGCAATGAGCAAGTTCGGTGTCGCGTATTTTGTGAAAGAAGAGCGAGTGAATCGCTCAGCATTATTATATGACGCACCAGGCTTCTATGGATTATCAACGTGTCATGCGTGCCAGCACACCGACTCCCGCGACGTATGTAGTTTGTGATGACGTAGTCAAGAGGAATGAAGTCCTTCACTTCAAATCTGGCGTCGGTTGGCGTACCCTGATTTCCAATCAGGGGTTCCAAGGAGACACGAGTTAATATTGCGAAGAGACGACCACAAGGGCGTCTGTGTTGTTTCTTTGGCCTACCCGATCCCCAACCCCGATCGCATTCTGGAAGCATAATATGTTACTGGGCAGTAGATTACCTGTTGGTATTTTTGTATTCTACAATGGTTTGCATCTTGCTTTTCATATATCATATCTTTTGGTACTGTGGTATAAAAACTGAAGTGATACTCACATTCAGCTTACGCGTAATGATGATGATGAGCGGTGAGCAGTGTTCGTCACATAATCGCCCAAAGTTGAGATATCCGGAGCAGAATGCAGCAAGTGGGATGTAGTGAGATGAAACAGGAAACCGCATAAGTCTGTTGTGCTACAGCTAAGTGCATATGGGGAAATCGAACACTAGACAGATCCAAAGTAGTATCATAATGACGAAAAATAGAACGACTATAAGCGGGATGATTATGAAAGTAGTAAATGGAAGCAGAAAGTCGAAAACCCGAATCACTGGTCTGTGTGTGATCAAACATCTTAGTAGGGCATTCAAGAAAATGTTGTAATGGTGAGTCGTTTCAACAGGCTGCAGAGAAAGCGCAACGTGTTTACCATGCATATCTCGCTCTTGAGCAACTGCATCCAAAAAAGCGTCTTCCCAGAACTGCAGATTCTCCCATAGCTTGGATCGAGTGTTATAATCGGTAAGTAGGTCTTCGAACAAATATGTACGACGAACCCTTGCGCCGGTACCAGGTTGAGAGGTAGATGTTAGTGCATCACGATCCGTTTGTGTAGAGGTTGAAACTCCAAAGGAAGAACGGCCAACGGCATTCGATACAGATTCCACAGTGCGGGAGAAGTATGGGGAGATAAAAAGCTTGGATTGTCGGTAACTGAAAATATGGGGTTGGGCAAAAATGTGGAACGAGTGAGAATGCTCAATCAAGTGAAGAAAACGAAAAGGTAACAAATCAGTATGAAAAAGAAGCAAGAAAAGATCGGGTGTTAATGAGAAGAGAACAGAAACTTTTCTGTTTCACATCGAAGGCGTAGTATTTCGCTAGTGTCGATAGATTGTAGAGACAAGCCCAGAAGTGTGCTTAAAAACAGTGGGATACCGGCAGAGGAGTCAAGCGCCAAACGAGCTACTTAGATGCAGTAAAATTAAAGACCGTATTCGGGTTTAAAGTAGATACTTGCCTTGTATTCAGAAGAACAAAAACAATAAAAAAATGTTAAGGCAAGAGCAATGCGTTTAAATGCAAATAAATAAGAAATCAGCAGACATGTGGAAAGCTCCAATTTCACTCTACAGAAGACATCGAAAACTGTGACAGCGATAAACTGAATATATTGAGAATACTTGTAGCCCTGGGTGCAGATGAGGGTGCTCGGTTGTCCTCCGAGCAAACGCTTAGTCGCAAAGCTAGATAACACTGTCAGCACAAGTTATGTGCAACTTTCCTGACATTTAAGGTGTCAAAAAAAGCATTTTGGGGGACTCACCAATATCCCCTACTTCGAGCACTTTTTGGTTCGCCGAAGATAGAGTCATCGATAAATATTTTGACAGCCTTTGAACGCACAAAAGACGAATCACCGGATGATTGTAGTTCAGACGAGTCGTCACTCAGTTTATCTGTCAAACCGGCGTCTGACGAATGGGCTTGTGTCTTTGAAGAGGATTCAGTTGTAAGGTCGTTATATTGATTGTTCTGATCAAACTTCATGTACCCCGTGGCAGAATTCCCACCTGACGTGCTCGGAAGCCCACCAACATCTGGAGTCCTGTCATCCACTGGTGACCGAACTTCAGTGGATTGTGCTATGACAAATAAATCAGGAAAAATAACTAAACAAGTAGAATAGATTAACTTTTGGGGCGATTGTGAAGAGCCATAGAAGGCCCCTGAATGCAGAGGCCGAAGTCGAATGCGAGATTAACATGCAAAGTGTCGACAAGAGACAAGTCTCGCGTAAAAGTATACCTAGCGACGAAACGACAGCGAGATAATGGTTAAAAAACATCAGCAATGTGTGGAAAAAACAGATGACACAAAGAGGTCGCATGCGGTGTGTGTAACGAAACGCGCAACACATGACTACACAGATGTGAGCGGCATACTCTGTCGGAGGGTCCGGATAGTAATATATGGTGTTGTAGGATTTGAGTACACCTTCCTTTCATCAGCAATGCAACATCGGTTATCCAGTCGAAAGCGAGGCTCAGATAGCCCACAAGTAGTTGCTGGGCGTGCATTGTAAAGGCCCCGTGATGATTTTCCATGGTGAGTCGACCGAGTCGATGCCGTGCTATTCGTCGAGCTAGGTTTCGTAAATAGCCTAACCGAACGCCATCTTAACGTGCGTTCATTGAACAAGCGCTTTTTCCCAATCCGACCAAACGTGTTGAAGGTCGGCACGTGAAGCTGGGTCAGCGTCGATTCTGACCGAAAAACCAGTGGAACAGAGACTCTCCAGGAAGATACAGTTTTGATGAGCCGTGCGGAAGAGTTTTGCACATAGCGTCTCAACTTCGAGACGGACGCATTTTTATGCACACGAGCGACATTTTCCGAGATAGTATTGAACAAAGAAGAATCCCTGTAAGAATGGGAAGTATCTAAATCGGGCGCCTTTCTCTGACTCTGTGCGTCGAAGAGCGGTGGTGTTCGGCTGGTCGTGGATCCAGACATCGCCACTTCAATGTTAAGAATTAAGTGAAAACGAAAAATGCTCTGAAGCTGTGTAACCAGTTAGTACTGAATACTACACAAACGGAAAATGTCAGTGACTGATGTCGATCTAGCTTAAACGTGTACCCAAGAAAAAGTGAGGTATTTCAATAACGATCTACGTTAAATTTAACAAATTTCGCTTGGCAACTATGATTCCGGAAAGTCAATTGGGGAACAGGTTACTGAAAATCAGTAGTAAAACTAAACGGCTTTAGACAGAAGTAAGCTTGAAAGAAAAAGGAAGCTGAGTGGGTTTGGTTAAGCACCACTAGCCAATCATGGTTCGAGCAACGGAGTGTGAAGGTTTCGGTTATCGCGAAGTAGGTTGTCTTGGGAACCAGTAGGCTCAGTAACATTGGAACACAAACAAACAAGACTGCAGCCCAATGGAAAGAAAGAAAAGGGATTACACGTCGGATGACAAAGTTTGGGCAGAGACAGTGGACCCAATTTAAATGCCATTGCATTTATGTCTATGCTGTGTCAGGAGGGACCTCTCCAATGAATGGAGATTTTGATCTCGGGATCAAACAGGAAGGCACTATGCATCTGTCAGGTAAAATCTTCAAGTCAATTTCCTCATGTTGTTCCGCCGTATCATACGAGGACTAAGCGGAAGTTTCACACAACCAGGTTTAGTAGTGGTGGGGAAAGATGCCGACAAATGTGGGGATGGCTCCCAGGCATAACAAATTGGACAATGAAAAGATGAAGATGACCGACGCGCTTCAGTGCCTCTCAACTGGTGATTGGAATAGAAGGAGATAGGCAGTATTTGTATACACAGAGCATACCCAAAGTGATGATGGGTGCTACAGTTTCGAAACAGAAGCAACAACCAGCGCACGCAACAAGGTTACTTTATGCGGCTGTTTCATCTGTACGCAATCTCGGTTATGCCGATGAATCGTACGTATTTAAGTCTGCAGCTAACCCTTTACAAAGAAGAATTCCCCACGGATGCTTGGATATGAGTGAAAAGAAACCTGTGTGCAGTCCGTTTGACGAAGTCGAACGATGAATTGTGGGGGGGGGGAGAGGACGGATCAAGCCAACATGATGTCTATTTTGGGATGCGGCATAACTGGCACAGCAAAAATTATTAACGCTAACTAAAAACAAAACTGTGAATAGCACAGCAATACTTAATTGTAGTAGATGAGGACGAAAAAGCAGAAGAGTGGATTACAACCGTGTGAGAAAACAGGCCAGGTGGCATCTGCAAACTGCATCCAAGGTGTGTGAAGCGGCCACCAGCAATGTTTGCAACACGGCGGCAAAAGTAGACCGATTCAAGGTAGCACAGTGTTGGAGGAACGAATCCATCGGAGTTGATTTGATCGAACGACGATGCAAATTATAAAAAGTCAATTGCCTAGACTTAACCCGTTCGGGTTGAACTCAGTCTGAGATTCAGTGCAGACCTAATTCCATTCACTAGTTGAGTTCAACTCAAGATGTGAACATGTCTGAAGATAATCGATTTGACTTTACCCTTTATTTCTCTGTTTCCTAGACTGGCTTGCCGAACTACCTTCGCGTGGTGTTCGCTGGGTCGTTCGGGATTATCCCGTCCCAGCGAAAGTTTCGGCGGCAGTGTTCCAGGACGTGGTGGGTTTTCACCTGGCAAGCGTTCTCCCTATAAAAAACCACATAGGTCCGTTTAATAACAATGTGAGGTGACGGATGTGACTTGCCACTAAATAAAGTCACTGTTCCTTGCTTCACCTCACTTGAGCATTGTAATCCTTCGGTTTGACGCTGAACCACCGGGAGTTCTGGGCTCCTGTTTGGCAGCCAGCCAAAAGAAAAGTGTATAAACCGAGCAATCGGTCACCGGCTGCCAATAGTCGCGATTCCCTGAATTCGCCTCGCTGACTTGCCGGTCAGGTCCCTATGCCCAAACGTTCCGGGTGGGGCACACTAAGTCAATCCCCTTCCACGGCCTGGGCAACCGGGAAGCTGTATGCCTACACAACACATGAAATGATGGATTTAGGACTCCCTGCTCACGTTTCACGCTCTCTGAACTCTCTCTTTGGCCGAGGTGCTGGCGTCCGGGCACGCTAAACTCACGCTACCGCACCGCAAACCACGTTCTTGGTTCCACCCTTATTCAACCTTCCTGTTCTTGGCAACTCCCCTTCAATTTCGATCGCATACATTCCATTACAGACAGCAAGGATTTTACTGACCCCCGCTCACTCTTCAAGCTAGCTACGTTTAAGGTTTGAAAGCTCATGCAGGTTGGTTCACAAGCTGCTGTTGCGCGCACCTTGGAAATCGTCTCAATCGACGTTTGCTGCCTAAACAAAACCCGTTTACAGGACTCCAGCACAACGCTGCGATTGCTCTCATCATCCCCAAGTTCCAATTGCACATTCACCTTGCGCTTATCTGAAGATGCGACAGAAGCAGCCTCTGGTTGCGCCGGTGTAGGAGTTGCGTTAAGCGCGCGTGCTGAGGCAGCGCTCTTTAACTGGTTCTTATTTGGAAAGCTCAGTGCGATCTTCCAGCCACAGAACAAGTAGGCGCTGCTTATTCATTGTGGCAGCGTACGCTCCTACGGACTGCAGCCCGGACGAAGCTGAAGACGAGTTCTACCGTCAACTCACTGACCTCCTCCGCAAGAAACGCAGCACGGACATCGTGATACTCGCCGGGAGGCCAAAATGCGCATGTCGGTAGACCAGACGTTCATGATCGCGAACATAGGGGTCAACACAGCCACAGTACTCATAAAACAGACAACGGTGATCGACTCCTTCAACTGTGCGCCGACCACGGCTTGTTCCTTTCCAACACCAATTTGCGACGCTCCTGGCACTATGGAGCCACCTGGCGACCTCCAGGACCTAGTGAAGCTTGAACGCAGATTGACCATTTCGCTGCTAGTTATCGTAGGCGAGGCTGCATAACGGGCTGCAAGTCAATTTGGAACGCTTACCTGACTTCGGATCACACGCTCGCGTGTGCTAAGTTCGTTCTGCGCTTTGGAGGCATCCAACAGCGTCAGCGGAAACGGCTTGACACAGACAAGCTCGCCGCCCCAAGTGTTCTCGGCGCATTTCAGAACAAATTAGCCTCCAACCTGCGTTTTCTATCCTCCCATGTTAAGATAAACTTAGCACAGATACAGAGTTCCTAACCAAAGTCCACTACCTTGGTCTGTGGCTTCACTAGATGAGCTGCTAGTCGTTGGATCCCTGCACAGTCTCTCCAATTAATGGAAAGTCGTCGAACAATTCCCGTCGGAGTTGAGTACAACGCTTTAAGCTGCTGAGTTCAGACAGCTCCTCAGGAAGGACCGCGAGATTTGGTATACACAGCGCGACGTTGAAATGGAGCGGACAGCCTCATGAGAAAACTCCCGCAAACTCTTCCAACTTATTCGCTCCACGGGAGGCAGAAGGACAACGGTGAGTAGGTTGTGCGTGAAAATATTGGTGAACTAATTCACAGTCGTGACTGTCGTCTGGTACGATGGGCAGAGCACTTTGAATATCAGTTCAACTGGCCACCGGCGCAACCGAGTCCATCTTCCGGGGTTCACAGTGCTCCTTGGTGCGTGGATATCTTTCCACCGACCGAGGCTGAGGTTTTTCTATGAACTTCGCCTACTGAGGCACCACAAGTTACCTGGCCCAGATGAACTTCCTTCTGCCCTATTCAAATATGAGAGTACTGCTCTCACTCGCGAACTAACATCTCTGTTAGATTAGAGCTGGACTACTGAAATCAGTCCATCCGACTGGAAATTAGCGGACGTTGTGCCAGTTGACAAAAAGGGAGACCGAACCATTTGCTCCAACCACCGTGGCATCAGTCTTATTTGTGTCGTATCCAAACTGCTCGCTGCCCTACTCTTACGGAGACCCAGTTGCGTACGGGAACAGCCCTTGCGTGACCAACAAGCTGGATTTCGCCAGGGTCGCAGTTGAATCGATCACATCTTTACGATCCATCAGACAGTTGAACATCGCCATACGTTCAATCGACCAACTATAGTCATATTCTTGGACATTCGAGCCGCGTTTAACTCTTATGATAGAGTGGCTCTTTGGAACTGTTTACTAAAGTGGGAACC